GGGGGGGGGGGGGGGTTTATTTTATACAATTTCTTTTTTTTATGTGTATAGGGGGCCCTATTAGGCTTCATTCCCAAGTAAGTTTAGGTGCAATTAGGGATTCCTGCATCTGGAACCTGCATTTTCCTGCAGCAGGAATCCCTAATCTGGTGTTTATAAGCGGCAGCTGTCACCCATTCAAGTTAATGATCAGGTGACAGCAGTTGCATGTAAACGCCGGCACACCGCATGTAATGTTATGTGATATGATTGCATTTGGTGAGGAATCAATCACTCTCCGTGAACGCATTGATTGTGCATCCAGGGAGAGTGTTTTCTAACTGCATATATTACATGCGGTGCGCAGGCATTTGCATGCAGCAGCCGTCACCTGATCATTAACTTGAATGGGTGTCAGTTTGTCACTTGTAAACACCAGATTGGGGATTCCTGCTGCAAGTTCCTGTCGCAGGAATCCCTAATTACACCTAATCTTCCAGGTGTGAATGGGGCCTTATTGTGTCTGTATTGGTGTCCGTAGTACCATACGGGATATAGATAACTTTAATTTTGAAGTATGATATTTGGCAAGCGGCCCCGATGGGAGGAATACATTTGTCGAGTGGCCCCCGAGTGAAGTTTAAGTTTGAGACCCCTGGTCTATGTGTTTGGAATCCAAAAACACGTGACGGAACGGGCCATAAAAGCTGAAATTTAATACATGAATGTAATTTTTTAAATTTGTAGCTTTCCCGAAAAAGATCCCTTGTGATCTTATAACTAAATTTATTTGTACAGGGACTTCCTGTTGAAGGGTGACAACTGTCTCTTAATTGGGCTGCAGCTTTGTCACCCCGTCACATGTCCTCCCTGGTGCGGGCTACAAGTGGCCGTGCCTACACACGTTGGGTGGACATGGTCCTCCATTGTCACTATCAGGAAGCCGGTCCAGGGCAATGATGTGCTGCTGATGCTGGAGCATGTAGACAGGAAGTGGCTGAGAGAGGCTGCAGGAGATCAGCACCACTGAGACTGGAAATACATTATTTTTGAAGAATACAATGGAGATTGTTTATGACACACAGTGCTGAGGACAAACTAAATGTCATCCAGAGAGAGTTTACATCTACTTTATACCCGCCCCCCACCAGTTACACACGTTACAATCTGATACTCACATTCATTGTACAATCTGTATGTAGTGATGAGATTAGATTTATTCTTATAGAAGTTTATATCAAACACGCTGAGAGAAATGGAGGTCATCACTGAGAG